AGTGGGACTCACCCCAAGAGCACAAGGATGGTTCAACTTATGCAATTTGATCAATGTAATACACCACATTAACAAAATAAAAGATAAAATCATATGATCTTATCAATATGTGCAGAAAAGATTTGATCAGATACATTTATTATTTATTTATGATTTAACATTCAATTTAATGGTTATTGAAGGAAAGTACCTGAACATAATAAAGACCATAAATGAAAAATCCTCAGCTAATATCATACTCAATGGTGAAAAACTGAAAGCTTTTTCTCTAAGATCAAAAACAAGATAAGGATGCGCACTGTCACTACTCTTATTCAACATAGTACTGGAAGTCCTAGCCAGAGCAATCAGGCAAGAGAAAGAAATAAAACCATCTAAATTTGGAATGAAGGCATAAAAGTGTCACTTTTTGCAGATGACATGATTCTTTATATAGAAAAACCTAAAGACTCCACTAAAAAAGTATTAGAAATAATAAACATATACAGTAAAGTTACCGGATACAAAATCAATGCACAAAAATCTACTGCATTTCTATATACTAGCAATAAAACTTAAGAAAAAGAAATGAAAAAAAATTCCTTTTGCAATTACAACAAAAACAATAAAATATCTAGGAATAAACTTAAATGATGTGAAAGGCTTTATACTGAAAACTATGAAGCATCATTAAAAGAGATTTAAAAAGTCACATTGAAAGGGCAAGATATTCCATATTCATGGATTGGAAAAATCAGCAGAGAGTAAAATGGCCATAAAATGGCCATATTACCCAAAGCAATATACAAATTTAATACAATTCCCATCAAAATCTTGCTGGCACATCTTTAAGAAACAGAACAAAAAATCATCAAATTTATATGGAACCACAAAAGACCCTGAATAGCCAAAGCAATCCTGAGAAAAAAGAACAAAACCATAGGTATCACACTACCTGATTTCAAATTATACTACAAAGAGACATTATTCAAAACAGCATGGTATTGTTTGAAAAAAAGACACACAGATCAATGGAACAGAATTGAGAGCCAAGAAATAAAATATATATGGCAAATAATTTTTTACAAAGGAGCCAAAAACATGCAATGGAGAAAAGAAAGACTCTTCAATAAATAGTGCTGGGAAAATTGGAAAGCCACATGCAAAAGAATGAAACTAGACTACAGTTTGCTTGTATATACAAAAATTAACTCAAAATTTATCAAAAACCTAAATGTAAGACATGAAACAATAAATTACATAGAAGAAAACATAGTTATTAAACTTATGGACCTTGGGCTTAGAGAAGATTTTATGAATCTGACCCCAAAGGCAAGGCAAGTAAAGGCAAATATAAATGAATGGGACTAAACAAACTAAAAAACTTCTGCACAGAAAAGAAATCGCCAAAAAAACAAAAAGGCAACCAACCGAATGGGAGAACATATTTGCAAACAACAGCTCTGACAAGAAATTAATATTCAAAATACATAAAGAACTCATACAACTCAACACCAAACAAACAATCTAATTAAAAAATAGACAGAGGACCTGAACAGACACTTCTTCCAAGAGGACAAATGAACAGCCAACAGATATATGAAAATATGCTCAACTTCACTAGTTCTAAGTGAAGGGCAAATCAAAACTACAACGAGATACAACTCACACTTGTTAGAATGACTATTATCAATAAGACAGGTAATAACAAGTGTTGGAGAGGTTGTGAAGAAAAAGGAACCTTCATTCACTGCTGGTAGGAATGTAAACTGGTACAGCCACTATGAGAAATAGCATGAAGGTTCCTCAAAAAATTGATAATAGCGTTACCATATGACCCAGCAACCCCTCTTCTGGTAACTACTCCAAAAAATTTGAACATTTATATGCAAAGATATATGCACCCCCTATATTCATTGCAACATTATTCACATTGGCCACGACATGGAAACAACTGAAGTGTCCTTCAATAGATGATTGGATGAAGAATATGTGGTACATATATGCAATGGAATACTACTACTCAGCCATAAGAAAAACTAAAAAAATACTGCCATTTGTGACAACATGGATCAACCTTGAGAATATCATGTTAAGCAAAATAAGTCAGTCAGAAAAAGTTTAGAACCATATGATTTCACTCATATATGGGATATAAAACCAAAAACAATAAATGAATAAACAAGAAAAACTAACAAACAAAAAGTCATAGACATCTACCACATTATGATAGTTACCAGAGGCAAGGGGCATAAATGGGTAGTAGAGGGTAAAAGGAGTCATATATATGGTGACGGAAGTTGATTTGATTTTGAGTGGTGGGCACAAAATGCAATATACAGATCTAATAAAATAAAATTAAAAATAATAGATATCATTTAAAGAGTGCAGTTTCCCAGTAAAAGAAACAGATAATAGGTGGCTAAGACCTCTTGCATAAGGTTACACACCAGGTACACACACAGCCTGGTTCCTAGACCAATGGATTAATCTCTCTGCTGTTCAGCTTCTCAAAATGGACACAGAAGCAAAGGCCTGGTTTGGCATCAGGCAAATATGGGTTGGTGTTTTCTGATATACCACTTGCCCAGGGCTAATTATTGATTCTTGATTTCTTAATTTGTGAAATTAAGATAGCCATAATCATAAAATAGGGTTGTTGCAAGGATCAGTGAAATAATGTAAGTAATACGCATTACTCAGTGGGCATTCACTAAGTTATTTCAAATGTTTCCAATTTTTTACTTATTAATTTCAAGGACTAGAACTGATGAAATATTGTGAAGGGTGGTCATAACCAGCATACTTCTATATTTTTACTGTTACATATGATGCAGAGATAACTATTCTTTATTATGTGATAATGTTAAGAAAGCATTCCTCTATTCCTAGCTTACTACAAACATTTTTTTCTGCAGGAATTGATGGTGGGTATTATCAAGTAACTTTTCAGCTTCTAACAAAAAAATGTAATATGATTTTTTGTCTTTTGAGCTTAATCATAGGATGCCTAATATTAAACTGTCTTTAGTTTCCTGTAATCAAGCATCTTTAATCATTTTGCATTGTTTGGAAATGAATTGTTAGATTATCTTGTGTTTTATTGATAATTTTTTATGTATGAATAATATGTTTTAGTCTTCTCCATTTTGCTCTTTTCCAGATTCCATTTTATGGTTATGGTAGCTCATAATGATTAATTAAGAAGTTTTCTAACCCTTTCTAATTTTTGAAACTATTTGAATAGTATAATGGCTTTCTGTTTACTGAAGGTTTAAAAGAAGATCTCTTTAATATATGTATTTCAAGCCCAAGTCTCAATTGTAAATATAGTCCTTTTTCCTCAAAGTTTTCTGTTTACACCATGGTTGTTTATTAATGTTTTCTACTTGGTGAATAGATGAGAATAATTTATATTTTGCTAGAAAATTTACAATTCATTGAAATAGTCAAATTTTTAATGTTGATCTGAAAATAGTATTATCATGGAACATTTTTATCTACTTTATATCTGAGGATACATATCGCCTGCTGATATTATCATTTATCTTTACTAGGGCTGTCAGGGACACCTCTAAGTGAGGATAGTAGTTGCCCAGGCACATTTGTGTTGACCTTTGCTCCCTTCCCTCTTTGGGGGGTCTCAGCCATCTCTCCCTGTATGGCAACACCAACATGTTAGGAGCATCAGTTATAAAGCCTTAGAGTCCAGTTAGAGTGGGTAAGCCTGTATTGATGTAAACTGTGTTTTTATACATAACATTGTAATTACCATGTTGGAGACCATCAGTTATTGAGGTGGTCAGTAAAGAGCACTGAGGGAGTACCCTGGCCTCAAGGGCTCTAAGATATTTGATTAATCTATGAGCCTCCCTATCCACAGTGACCCATAGCAACTTTACTGAGGTTCTATTTACCTCTAGTCTCTTCAGACTCAATATTTGCATGTTATTTCATGCAAAAAGAATCGACTACTTCAAACATGAAAATTTGAAGTATTGTTTATAATTATGTTTATTCTAAAGGATCAGTCTATTCATTTTAACAAATTTATAGCAGCTATAGAGTAGGAAATCTTGTGAGTCTAAAAAAAGCCTTTTGAAAAGTAGTGGAGATGGGTTAGTTGGGAATTCCAACTGGGAGGATATGAGAAAAGTCACAACCTAATTCTAAACTTAGGTGAAAATCTAGTTATATAGAAAGAGATCAGGGAGATACCAATTATGGGGTAGGTGCCAGAGATGGGCAAGGCTGACATGGTGGGAAAACCAGTGTACTAGATCAGGTAGACAAGAAGCTCTTTAGGAGTAGAGCAATGATGGGATCAAGCTCCATGGAGCCTCTACATTCAGTTAAGATCACTAGCAAAAATTCCAGGAAGCTGTTGGCCCCAACAAAGGCCACCTGGAAGTGGCCAGGTCTACATGACCAATTCTTTCAATAAGAGACCTTGTTCTTTATATGTGGCTGGCCTGGCAATATTAATATATTAATATTAATGAAGGCTCAGCCTATTGCTTACCACAATGTGATTCTATGTAATTCTTCCCACTGACTTTGAGCTCAACCGCCATATGTATTAGACACACATTAATCTTCAGGTGGATTCTATGAAATGCTTTAATAGGTAAGGATGCATGGTCCAGAAAACTTTTTATGTCTTTGGGTTCAGGTCTTCTTCAAGGTTAATGTGGACTGTTTATCCAGAATTTCCCTTCACCAGTACATTTCTTCTCTTGGCTTCTTATACTCTCAAGTCTGAGAAGATCCTGGCAAAATGACTCTATTTTGGTACTTGGGGAGAGAAGAGTTCCATTAGTACATACCAAGCACATAGGCATTGTTTATTGTAAAGAATAAGGAGAAAGAAGATGGGTGCCTCCTGTGTGTCATCAATTGACAGATTTCTTTCATGGTTAAGATGAGTACTATAAAGAAATACATCAATAAAAATACAAATTAATATACTTAACTATGTAAATTTCTACCTGCCTTAAATCTCCACCTTGTTTGTGTTCCAGGTTCAGGTTTAGTGGTCGTATCCTAGGCCTGGCTCTGATACACCAATACCTTCTTGATGCCTTCTTCACAAGGCCTTTCTATAAGGCACTCCTGAGACTGTAAGTGTATTGCAAGCCAGGGTCCACCCAGCCCCACTTGCAGGACAACAGGTGCTGGCCTCTCTAGTACCTCTGGACTTTCTGTCCATATTTTTCCTAGCCATTCCTATTAGCTTTGTGGTGGTTTACTGTTCTGAGTCCTTAAGATATCACACAAACCTTTTAGTACAATAAAAAGGCATTTGGAGATTTTATGCAAGCATAACATTATATAATGGATATGAATTAGTTTACATGAATAATTATAGTTTACATAAATAATTACAAACATTTTATTAAATTACTAAGTAGAATCGATCTGTCTAAAACTTAGATGTTTTAAAATGATACTCTTCTCCAATTGCTGTGGAAAGTTCATGAGTCAATAATTATTTCATGTTTATTATTGTAGGTATTTTAATATTTTTGTTTTTAAAAGAATAAGAGATACATCAATATATTCAAAAGTATCAAATTGTTAGAACAAGTCTGTGTTGTTTTAGCCAGGAGTGGCATAAAGACATTTTGAAGTGAGGTCTGGACAACCATTTGTTTAACCTTCCTCTCTTTGAATGCACCCAGACCCTGTGATTTAAGTGACCTGGAATACTTGGATGAGGAATTCCACCAAAGCTTACAATGGATGAAGGACAACAACATCACAGATATCCTGGATCTCACTTTCACTGTTAATGAAGAGGTTTTTGGACAGGTTTGTAAGATGTGGGGCTTGGAAAAGAGATTTGTTTTTTATTGTGAAAAATTAGCATAACATAAAACTTACCATTTTAACTACTTTTACATGCACAGTTCAGTATTGTTAAGAATATTGATATTGTTGTACAATTATCCTCAGAACTTTTTCATCTTGCAAACCTGAAATCATACCTATTAAACAACAATTCCCCATTTCTCTTTCTTCCTGGCACCTTGCAACCACCATCCTACTTTCTCGTTCTCTAAATTTGTCTATACTAGATAACTCATATAAGTGGGATCATAAAGTATTTTTCGTTTTTGTTACTGGCTCATTTAACTTGGCATAATGTCCTCAAGATTCATCCAAGCTATATGTATGAAGGTATTTTCTTCTTTTGTAGGACTAGATGACATTCCACTATATATATAT